GCCCACTAGCTTGACCACACCGTTGTTGCGGTCAATCGCGAATAGCTCAAGTTCATTTCCCGGCAGCGCTATATCGAACCAGAATTCCGAATCAGCGTCAGCGTCCGAAACGTTGACTTGAAGCAATTTCGTGCCAGGAGCCGCGTCTTCTGACACCTCCACTCTATATTCATCCAACTCAAATTTCGGCCGGTTATCGTTGACGTCCACAACGAACAGAACCACTCGAATCCGGCTGGTAAGCCCGGCACCATCCCGGGCTTGGATCTCGAACTGATGAACCGTTTCCTGAAAGAACTGCGCCCACTTAGGTTGGTTCACCTTTGACCTTTGGATTGATATCTACAAGTTTGATAGCCAAGCCAAGCGCTAAACACGTGAATATCATGTAAACATCATGTGAGCATCACATGAATATCACATGAACAAAACNTTGGTTGACCTTTGACCTTTGGATTGATATCTACACAAGTTTGATAGCCAAGCCAAGCGCTAAACACGTGAATATCATGTAAACATCATGTGAGCATCACATGAATATCACATGAACAAAACGTGATTATGGCGTGAATATCACGTGAACAAAACGCACCCGCTCATGATCCAACCCACTCCCGGCCACCGTCAAAATACCGCTATCTGGGTCGATTTGCAAGGCCTCCGGTGCTCCTTGCACCAGCGCATAACTGACCTGACCAAATAAGCCAGAGTCAGCGTCCTGGGCCAAAACTGCGCCCACAAATTGGCCTAGTTGAGCGTCTTCTTTGACCCACATCCATATGGGTGCCGCAGAGTCCGTGGCTTGATCCTGATCACCACCCTCACGATATCCACCCGAGCCATCGAATTCCGCTGAGGGCCGCTGAGGATGTCCGGATGCCCGGAAACTGCCCGGATTACTGCCTGTCTTCCCGCTATTCCATGCCATTCCCACAGTATCCGCCACAACAAATTTAGGCCGATTATCATTGACATCCAGAATTTGTAGATGCACGCAAATCCGCCGTCGTA